GGATATAATTCTCGTAATGTCATTGTAGTCTTTCCCATTTTTATCGCCAGATTAGTACGAAATGCTTCATGGTATGCCACAAACACCTCCCATTCTTCCCAATACATGCGTTCATCATAGAACAAGTGAACAAGTGTAGGTTTAACAATACACAGAACGTCATTATATAAACAGATAAAATAGAAGGGCATATTAATAAGGAACAAATTGCATCCGGCAGATTGTTCAACAGAGGAGAGAATAATATGTTTATCACGTTCTAGGCTTCTGATTGTAAGAGCTGGATTATTATCATCCAAACATTTATTAGGGTCAATGGCAATACCTTCAATGCAAAAATATATGAGCTTCATAGCAACATTTCTGTTGTTTTCAACATAGTCTTTTATGCCATACTGTTTATCAAGACTGTCCTTGACTTTGATGAAATAGTCCACAAACTTAATATCTTTTTTTTCAAGTTTCTCAAAAAATTCTCTCCCCTGTTTACCATCTGCTCCAAAGCAGACGATAAAGAGTCGTTGAAGTGCGCGTGGCAACCCACCAGTATCCCTCAGAAGCTGAAGCATTTGACGACAATATTTCCATTTATATGCATAGTTTGCAATTCCCGCATTGAATTTTTCTGCAAAATGATCCGTAATCCGAATAATGGATTGATCGTTCAATAATGGACAATCAACAAACACGAATGAAATTCTTGAAGCTTCTTTTTGTTCAATGACAGCCAGTGGAGCGGTCCCTGAAAGGAATGGTTGGACAAAGGCGGGTAAAGCGGATTTAAGCATAAATTCCGAAATATTATGGATCATATTATAGAAGAGTTTTGTTGGTGGATTCGACTTATCCTCTTTATCCCATGAATCAATAAGTTGAAATTCATCAATATGAAGATATAGGAAAAATAAGTGTTTATCGGATAGATTTAGGGCTTTGCGAATTTCTCCGATAACAACATTAAAATGAAAATTATTAAAGCTGTCCCTATATTGTTCAAGTGCGATGCGGAATTCTTGAAAACTCATTCCATATTCTTTTTCAATAAAAAACGCATGCGCAATTCGTAAGCCGATAATTATTGATGCATCTATGCCATAATCTTGTCGAGTAAGTCTGTGACCATTTCCGAAGTCAATACATAAGTATTCAAAATGTGTGTCAGTTCTTCTTCTGTCATGAGGAATTTTACGATCATTGTAAATATTCTGAATATACTGAGGCATGTCTTTTCTGACTTGATTAAAAAGCTCCTGCCCAAATCGAGTTTTACCTATTTACAAGATAATGAGTAACTGATACAAATTGTTTACTAGGAAAAGTACAAAGAAACAATACCTATCCCCGGGGCTCCTCCACTGACAAGAACCCAGTAGTTCGATTTTCCATCTCGGCCCGTAATATTATTGTATATTGTCTCATTTACATAACTCATTGACTCTTTGAAGTTACGTTGTTGCAATGGCATGCTTAATACATCAGGCAAATTAGGTGTACCCTTTAATGCATTCTTTTTAATAACCTCAATAATTTCCTTAAATGAAAGAGATGCTAATCAAAAAAAAAATCAGGCAGAGAAATGAATGTAAATGATATAATCTATTTCTTGTTCGATTGGTAAAACGTTAAGAGACACTTACCAGCAGCAGCGGGCAATAATTGTACGATGACGTGAATGTTCTCATCTACAAGCAATTGTTCAAAAAAAACTTTCTTAACCAAGAATATGGGTATCAACTGCTCGCCTCCAAATTTTTCTATAATATCATCTTTGGTAGTAACATGTTTAAGTTTGTCTCTTTCACCGTAAGCGATGTCAACCTTCCAAAGGTCAATGTACTTATAATTAAACTTAATATCATGATTAATCTCATTATAGACAAGAAACTTGAGGTCTGAAATCTTTAAATCATCAAATTTGACCAAAGAACCATGAATGTCGCTTTCTTTAGCAACGTTAACCACAAAAGTATCAACAAAAGAAGTCATTCCTAGGAGTAAACAATTTATTGACACCATCATTTCATTTGGGAGATAATTCTGTAAAAAAAAGAATTTTTAGGTGTTTTTTAGTGTGAGAGAAATTTTGAGGATATATATTTACTTGTAAAATCCTTTCCGAATTCATCAAATGATTAATAATAAAATAGACTCTTGATCAGTGGTAATATGATCAGTACACAAAAAAAATAATTAGTACGGTTTTATTTTTACTCATTAGAATTTTGATTCTCCCAGGGTATTTATAAAAAAAGTGAATTAACAGTTACGCAAATTTTTCGGTCGTACGAGGTTGTATTTGATTAAGTATGGAAATGTAATGACTTATGCCCTATAAAAAAAGTTTGTGCTAAATTTGTGCCAAATAGGTTAATCATATGATATTTGTTTAGAATTTGTTCGAATTTTATATTATTTTTTAGTACAAATTTCGAATAAATATTGCATGATTAGTCCATTTGGCACAAATTTAACTTTTTTTATAGGGATGTACTAGGCTACTTGCCTATTTCATAAATGAGTTTTTTTTTTATGGAATGAGAGATAAATTACTAATTGTGAGTATTGTATTACCAGCTTAATGTACCATTACTAGTATATATAATTTTCACTGAATCGGACTATCTTGACTATCTTGTACAACTAGTGCTTCGATCCGGATGAAAACCGTCATCCGGATCACCACACTACTCTCGGATGCAGATCATTTTGATCGGCAGTCCGAATTTCCTTTTATGGTATACTTTCCGAACACTATTTTTACAATACATTTATTTTATACATAGATAAAAGTCCTAATAATTGGCTGCATTGATCAGGTTTGGTTATTAACACGTGGGAATAGTCAATTTTATTGGTTGAAATTTTATCATGTGATTACAGGTTTAGTAACAGTTTTTTTTATTTTATTTTTTAAGATTAATAAAAAAATTTCCCAAAATACAAAAAATTCTTTAAGTTTTCAAACATTAATAGAATTAGCTTATAATAAAGCTAAAGATCATGAAATATTAACCATATATCTATATTTAAAATTACATGATACAATTTGTTCTTCTCATTATATATCTATTATAGAAGGTTATAATAAAATAAACTATCAGAATAATGAAAATGAGTCATAACCTGAATTATTTTCTGAAGGAATATTTTTAGCTTCTAAGTTTTAAAAAATGACTACAATTTTTATCAAATGCAGCATAAAAAATCTATGGGTCTTATTCTTAATCTTGAAGAATTCGATCATTATTTTACTGAAAGAAATGAAGATCTTAATAATTTTTTAAATAAATTTGTAATATATTTTTACCTAAAGATTGAAAAAAAAGCCAAAAAGTGGAAAAATAAAAAAAAGTTATTACAATATTATATCTTATAACTAGTATTCAAAATATGCAAATAAATACTTTTAAAATTAAATTAGAAATATATTTAAATACTTGTGAATTATCTTTAAAAGCATTAAATACTTTAAATAATGCTGGAATTATAATAGTAAGTTTTCTTTCTATAACATTTTATTAAATTAATTTAATTGATATTTTTATATTTAAGAGAAAGATCACCACTCAGCAGGATAAAATTATTAATATTCTATAATTAAATTTATGGGCTTTGTATTAATAAAAAAACTATTTTTTAGAATGTTATGTTCTTACTTTGTTTTTTTCAATAAATTAAAAAAAGATAGTATAAAATAATTTTTCTGGCTGAGAGGGATATTTACAAGATTAATATTATGGTATATATACATAAATACTAATAGAAACTATTTAATTTTTTAAAAAACACTATTTTTTTATAATTTATAAAGAAAAGAACTAAAACCTATCAAATTAACGAAAAAAAATGATTTATTAATATCCTTAAATATAAAAAAACTATTTACATGCCAGAGTCTTAAGATACCTAAAATTGAGATTTACTGAAAAAAAACAAACATATTAGTAACTAAAAATTTTTATTAACAGCCTTAAAAAAATTTATTTATATAGTTACTTTAAAGTAATCCAAAATTTAAGATGTATGGAATAAAATCTACAAAAAAAAATAAAAGGAATATTAGTAACTAATAATAATTTTTACTAAAAAAAGTATGTTTACTTATCTTCCAAGAATTTCAAAGCATTCAAGTCCAAAAAAATAAAACCTACAAAAAAAAAAATAAAAGGAATATTATTAAAGCCATACTAAGACTACTAAAACTTCTAATTATAAGCCTAAATAACTAAAATAAATAGAAAAGATAAATATATTTTCACTATTAAGAAACAAGAAAATTACCAATAAATAAATTATAAACTAAAATTTATAAATTAAATAAAACTAAATAAAAATAAAATACAGGTCAAAATATTTTACTTAACGCATAAACTTATTAAATTTACAGCTGGAATGACACGTTCTTCCAGAGTAAAGTCAAAGAGTTTGAACTTTGATGACGTTAAACTTCATGCATGAGTGGCTTGGCTAGAATTGACATTATCCATTATCGCATTCAGCATTTAATTATTTGAGAAGACGTCATCTTAACAAAAACTGTGTATTAGCCATTTTTAGTAATAATTTGTATAAATCAGCATTATTAAATTTCTTTCATTAAATGCTGATTTCTTCCTTAAATATAACAAATTACTTATATTATTATTAAATAAATTTTTAACTCTACTAAAATGTTGTATTGATATTCATTTTTCTAATTATATAAGGTTATATAATCTGGATAATTATTATAATATCTACGAAAAAAATATCCAGATTATATAATATTGAATAAAGCAAATTACAAAAAGATTTAAAATATCTCTTACTGAGACACAAATACTTATGGCTAATATTTTAATTCAGTTCATTTTAGCATTTAAAGAATTAATATAAAAACCAAAATGTGAACAAGTTATTTTATGGAAAAAAGCATTACTTAAACAGATAAAATTACTTCAAAATCCAAAATAAAGGATAATTTAAATTAACACACGTCAAATGACCAAAAACAGGCAAAAAAAATGGCTAGAATTGCATAAACTATTCGCAAATTTATATAAACTATTTACAAATAGTATAGGTTAATTTGCAAATAGCCAAAAACAGCCAAGAATAGCTAAGAATAGCCAAGAATAGCTACTGCTTTTCGCGCTATTTTTTTGCCGATTTTTAGCATTTCGACTTGTGTAACTTTCAGATAAAGTAAAAGATATACAAATAAGAAAAGTAGATCGAATATAAAAGTCAGTTTCTTTAGTAAAGAAATCAATAGATATCTTTGTAAAGAAATACATATGTGAGGATTGGATTCCAATAAAAAAGAAGTTTAATAAAATTACATTATACATAAACAAAAAATTATTGGATTAATAATTTAAAAAAAAATAATTTTAATTTTTTATTCTCATTTAATTTTAATTTTATTTATAATTTTAATTTTTTATTCTCATTTAATTTTACTTTTATAATATCATTTATAATTTTATTTTAATTTTAATTTATAGTATATTATTTGTATGTTATTGTATGGGTATGCTTGATAATGGTATGATATGGCACAGAGTACCATATCAGATCATTATTAAGCATGACGCCTGTACAATAACAATATTAATATACGGATCAGAATGACCATCATTAAACTTTTTTTATACTTTATTAGTTTATTTCTTCTTCTCTTTCTAAATCACCTTTATTGAATCTTTTATGGTGCATATCACCTAAACTCATCAATAGTCCGAATTTTTATTTTATGATGATCATTACTAAATTAGGATTTATTACTTCTAAATAAGGCAATAGTCTAACTTTATTTAGTAATTAAAATTTTGATCACAATTTATTATAACAAATAAATCAATATAATTGGTTATAATCAATATCACATGATAGAATAATTCCGAAATTTTCTCATTTATATATAAGTTAATATAGAGATATATAAAAATATGCTAACTTTAAACTTTAATAACTTTTGAAATATATTAGATAAAGGAAAAGTAATCCGATAATTTGAAAGAGAAGAACTCAAAGTGTAATTTTATCAGTTTACATTTTTAATTATCATATAATTTTAACAAGTAGTTAGCTTTTTAAAATCACTAATTTTATTTGATGAGTTTAAGTGATATGCACCATAGTACATAAATAATGTCAAAAGAAAGAGTAATATATTTTTATGAATATTTGATTGTTATGCTAATATTAAAACATTATTTTTTTTATTTTATGCATTTTTAATAATATCTATAATCATATACTGTATTTTATAAACTTCATAATTATATAAATTTGCATTTAATAATATTGAGCACGTTATAATCGCTATATTAAGCATGACGTGCAAAATATTGGTATAACGTGTACATGATGGTCCTATAGAGCCGTATATTAATTTGGTTTAATTTTTACTTTATAGTATTTTATTTTAGTTTAATTTTTAATTTATAGTATTTTATTTTGATTTACTTTTACTATTTAATTTTATTCTTAATTTATTTGTAATATAATATTTAATACTTAATCAGACAGTTAGGAGCTGAAAGTATCATTTATAGAATAGTTATGATTATTATGTAGTACAAATATATTTTAATAAAATGGTACATGATTCAACATTAAAAAAAAAAAAATAATAATAAATGAAGTGATTCATATCATGGCATAATATATAATGAAATATCAGTTCACAATCTAATTAATATAAATTGGATTTTAATTTGTAAAAACCTAATAGTAAATATTTATTAAAAATAGTTATTAGATAAGTCTTATATAATAAGAAAAAAATGAATGGATAAAAGCAAAAAGTAATGTTTTATTTATTTTTAATCTGATTGAATAATTTACTATTTATACAGTGAAAGTTAGTTGATATAATGTAACCATCCATTTCAGTAAAAATATCTGGTATATTGAACAGGGTGAACATGCTAATTATCACCTTACCGATCATTTGCTGATTATATATATTGATTATTGCATTTTTTTGAGGGCTTCAAGCAAAGCCATATTTGCTCAAAAAAAATTTATAATCATTTTGTTTGGTAATTTAGGTTATCAAAAATATACTATAAAATTATTGTGGCAAAAAAAAATGTAGTGCCAAAGTTAGATTTGGGCCAAAATATTCAATAATTAGTATTTACAAATCATATGCCGATCATCTGCTAATTTGACTTTGAAGCTTCAGGCGAAGCCACAGATGTTCAGGCGAAACTTGAAACTTTTATAATATATTATTTAAGTATTCAAGAATCTATGGCTAAAATAAACATGGATAATTTTTAATAAATAAAAAGTTATCATTAAAAGAATACTTGCAATTATTAAGGTTAATATAAGGCTAATATTTGGTAAAATCTTCATGAACTATTTTTATGAATTAATTTATTAATAGTATATAAATAAAGTAAATAAAATCAAAATTTTATACATTATTATGTAGAGTTTGTAAAAAAAATAAACTTAACAGTATTTTTTTGTGACAATATTGAACAATTGATCAGCAAAATGATCGGCAAAATCGTGATAAAATAGAGATGTCCGCCCTGTTGGTATATTGAGACTTCTGATATATCAAAAAATTTTGATATACCAAATTTTATATATAAATCACATGAAATTCCATTATATCAAGTTTTTATTTGTACGACATGTATGACGACATTGAAAATTTAGATTATTTTTATTTAAAATATTATTTGAGAAATTTTATATACTGAAATTTACCAAAACTTTTGCTTTTTTTTTACTATTCAAAATAATTTTTTTATAAAAAAAAAATTATCATGTTGCTCAAAAAAATGAAATTATCTGTATCATGTAAAAATACTGTAATTTTATTGGTTTAAAATTGTGAATCGTTACGTATTCTGGTATATATATCAAACTATTTTTATTATAACCGTTCTATTATTTGTTCCATTATAGCAGGACCCCGAACAATATATATATAGGTCAGATAAAAAATTCAAAATTTACTAAGGTCAATAAGCAAATATTTTTCATGTCTGCTAATAAGCAAACTTTTATCTAACCCATAAATTTTTTACACTGCTAAGCAACTTATTTTATGACATATATATATTTATATATAATTTTTTTTATAAAATATGAATATAAAAAAAAACTAAAAAAACAAAAAATTTTGAAATAATGTATGGATAAAGCTATTATTATTTTTTTGTAATATTACAATTTACAACTTATAAATGTTTCTTATTAATATTTCGTATATCTGTTCTGTGACTTCAGAGCGTAATTTAGGCACTTTAGTCAAAGGAAAAATCCAAAACCTTCTTAAATAAAGTTGTTCAGCAGGTTCGAATCTACTTACATATAAATTTTTATCATGATTGAATAGATATATATGGATTTATTCATGTTTTTTGTAACACCACCAATACGCGGAATTTTTATTTTTAAAATTTACTGTAAAATTTGTCAAAAAAAACAAAAAAAAATATTTTTAAAAAATTTTCTAAGTAAAAATGAAATGACTTTTATTGATTATTACAAAAATTATAGTGTAAAATTATAAAAAACAGAAAAACACTTATTTTTCCCTTCCCATCCATCTGTTGCTCTCATTTTAAATATATATTTTTTAAATGTTACATGGACACGTATATGATTTATGATTTTAATGTTACGCGGATGCGTATTTGTTTTATCAAAAACATGTTACACGATCACGTCTAAAAATGTTCCCTGTATTACGTATACAATTAATTTATTCTTTGTATTAAAAATAGTAAATTTTTTTTATACAAACATGTTTATAACTTTGTTTACATATTTTATTAGATTTTTTTAATGTGAAAATGTAAATATATATTATATTATATATATATATTAAAAAATTTTATTGCTACGCAAATATATATCTGACTATTAATAATTTAATACTCTGCTACGCATAATTATATCTGACTATTTAAAAATTATGTTATCAAATAAGCAATAATAAATCTCACATAGGAAAAATTTTTATATGTTGGTTAAGCAAACTCAAAACCTACCTTTATATATATTATTCGGGATCCTGTACTAATAACCTAAAAATTTTTTTTTTTAATTAATAAATTCTAAAATGTTTCCCATCTTATTACTATCAAAATCGGTATGAAAATAGGCTTCGTCAAAGAATGAGAGCAATTTATAATTAGGGTTAAATTTTGGTTAGACTTTATTGTCCCAGATTTTTTCGTATTGCAAAGGAAGCTTTACAATATGTCTAGTTACCTTCCTACTATACATTTTTTGGTTAGATCTGGGTCAGATTTTTGGTTAGACTTTTGGTTAGACCTGTTGTCCCAGATTTTTTCGTATTGCAGGGAAAGCTTTACAATATATCTAGTTGCCTTCCTGCTATACATTTTTTGGTTAGACTTGGGTTGGATTTTTGGTTAGACTTTGCTGTCCCAGATTTTTTCGTATAGCAGAGGAAGCTTTACAATATGTCTAGTTGCCTTCCTACTATATATTTTTGGTTAAACCTGGGTTAGATTTTTGGTTAGACTTTTGGTTAAACCAGTTGTCCCAGATTTTTTCGTATAGCAAAAAAGCTTTAAAACATATCTAGTTGCCTTCCTGTTAAAAATTTTTGGTTAGAGCATAAATGGCTTAAATCATCAAATGAATCCATTTTTAGAGTATTATAAAAATAGTATGCCACAATGGATTGTTGAATCGTGCCATTGGTATTACAGACACTTTGTGTCCTTCATACCTTTGGCACTTATAAAGGCAATCTGATATAGCATAAAATTATGATACCCTGGAATGGATCCATGCGTGGTAATAATGCCTAGGAATATATGATTTTAATCTTATCTACAACGCTTGAAGGGCTCTTTATAGATAACAAGTAATAATATATCGAGAATCAAGGTGAGGTGGTCTGGGAATAGAAAAACAGGTATAGTGTTATCATATCAGAAATCATGGCTAGGTGGTCTGGAGGTACACTAAATTATGGTTAGAACTATGTGATGGCTGCTGTCCCAGAACCCCCAAGTTTGTCCTACTTAAAATGCTAGAAATTCTTTCTGCCAATCCTCTGACCAAATTTTTTCAAAGCAAAATAATGGCAAAAATATATGAAAAGTGATATAAAAATAAACAAAAATGGATTTTATTTCACTGAAAGAGTTTGTTAACACCTTTTACAAAGATATATTTTGACTCCTATCAGAAAAGTTTGTAAGACTAGGAACAAAAAGAGCGAAAGTTTTTGAGGAAGATGTACTACGAGTTTACAGACAAACTGATAAAAGTATAAAGGTTTTTGAAACTATAGTTCATGTCATCTGTTTACCAGTAGCAGAAATAATGCTACTGTTAGAGAGTAGTATGGAAGTTGCTCACAAAATATACATGGACAATACGAAACTTCAAGGTAAGGAATGAAAAATACTGCAGAAGAGTCTGAACGAAGAACAGATATGGTTACGTGAGAAAAGTAGTACCATATCAAAACAGGCAGGAGTGATGCAAAAGCAGGAATAAATAGTAAAGCAACTAAATCACACCATCGCCCAAATAAAGCAAGAAAAGGAGGTGGACAAGAACAAGAAAGAGAGCACGCCAAAAAATTTAAGAAAAGGCAAGCGATCTTCAAAAAAGGAAAAATTGAAGCTGATCTTGGAGATACCAGTTTTAGTGGAAGATCTCAGAAACAAGGAGAAAGAAAAATCACGTGATCTATTCTTTTATGATGTACCGAAATTTTGGACTGAAGAGGATATCAGGACAAACATATCAAAAATTGGAAAAGTATTAAGGATACAAGTAAGACAACAATACAAATACAAATCGGTTAGGATACAAATAATTTTGAACAAAAATTTTGAATCAATGTTTAACAATGACGCTTTCGGAATTTGTATTAGCAATCATTACCTAAGATAGTACGATGCAGGAAAAGGACTAAAGACGAGACAAGACAGAGATAAATGGCAATTAATTAGAGACATGACGAAAGAGGAGATGGAAGAATTTAAGAGAAGAGACAACGGAATGGTATTTATGACGAAATTGCAGAAGGAATATAACGCTGCTTTTATAAAAGTTATTAAGATAATATAAAACTGAAAAGTAATAGGTTATTTTAGTGACCAAGAAAAAATGGAAAAAGCAGTTGAAACTTCCTTAAAAAAAAATGACGAAGGTCTAGCTTCAGTATGGATGGTGCGAAATTACAAGACAATCTTTTAACAGAAAAAGGAAGAAAGAAAGTCAAAAAAGGACAAGGCATTAACAGTAACAACACAAATAATAATGCCAGGTACTTAAATAACACCAACTATACTTTACTAAAAATGGCCAATTTTTTGAAATGATTTTGTAATAATTTTAAAATACTACAAAAATACATTTAATACATCAAAATGTTTTTATTATATTTTTGCTATTATTTTGTAATTATATTGTATCTGGGTCTATAAAAATAACTCAAAATAATATCATAATAATTTTTTAATGTTTTTGTTATTATTTTATTATTATAATATAATTAACTTTGATATTATTTTAATATTTTAAT